TATCCGATCGATGACAGCAGTGTGTCAGCTTCCTGTTTTCATTTTCCACAGAAAACAAAGATGGCGGCTCTACTCTGATCCACAGATCTCCCACGAGACAGTTCCAGGAACCAGGAGCTCGTTTCTGATTCTGCAGAACGTCAGACTGTCGTTCAACAGAAACACACGTGTGATTCCAGTTCACTCAGTCTGAGGTGTTTCACATTTCGACTGGATGTAATCACCTGTCTGACAAGCCCCGCCCATCAGCACGTATACACACACACACACACACACACACACACACACACACACACACAGGATTAAGTTCTGCTGACTGATGTCCATGTTTAGGAATGTGTGTGTTCTAGGAAAAATAACATGGGCCTCTGTGTGTGTGTGTGTGTGTGTGTGTGTGTGCGCGTGTGTAACAAAGGCCCCTTTGTGACAAGGTATTTCCCCCCCCACGACCTTCACCAGTGCAGTTACGTATCTCCATCTCTTATCATACCTGTTGTGACCTGTGAACACACACACACACACACACACACACACACACACACACACACATGTCTGTTGTCTACCTCCCGTTGCTTTAAGTTACTCACACATCATCTCGTTCGACAGTAGGCTCCGACTAATGACACAACATGTACACACTTCATGTAACACAATCTGAAGAAAGTGAAAATGTTCAGTGAGACAGAAACACAGAGATCCTCTGATGAACTTCAGCTTTAGCACATAACCATTGTGAGGAAATTACCAGACCAAGTTAACTTTCATTTCTCTCTTTATCTTTATTCATGTTCAAGTCGAGCGGAGAAAATTTCTTTTTAACGTCAGTGAGACAGCGGAGAGTCCACAGCCGAGCTAACGCCAACATCTGCATTTTAAAACCACCTCAACGACACTGTAAGCATGTTAATGTTTGGTAATTACCACGATCATCATTTGCTAATTAGCAGTAAACTCGAAGTACAGCTGAGGTCGATGGGAACAACATTCATTTTGCTGTTATTTGCTCGTAAAATCTCAATTATCGTAGAAAATTAGATTTCTGACTCAACGGTGGCGCTGTGCGTCAGATCGAGTTTCATCAGAAGAACAGTGTGTTCGTATAAAGACGGGGGTGATGGTCGACACGATCTTTTACTTACTTTACCTAGTGTAGATTTATGTGTGCTGTGTTCAACAATAACTCATATAGAATCACAATTGTGTTGCGCATAAGAGGAACTGCCTGGCGTACGTGCAGACGGACGATTCGAAACTATACAGACACCTTCTTTCACATCTCGAGATAAATTTCCACCACCAAGGAGATGAGGCAGCTCCTGTTGATGGACGGTGAATGCTTTGACCTAAAGGTTGAATTTCTTGAGGCAAATGATTATTTGGGGTCGAAACTTTCACAAATCAAAACGCAGGTGAAACTCGGAACCTCGTCTTCATGTGGTCCTGACCTCGTTCACAGTGAAACAACCTGAAACATCAAACGAGGGAATTTCCACCTTGATGAAGCTGTTTTAAAAAAAAACAGCAGATTCAGTTTAAAGATCAGCTGCAGGAACAGAGAGAGACAGGAAGTTGTGGGTAAACTGCTAAAAATACTTTGGTGCTTAAAACTTT